TATCATGCTCTTTGCAGCATCAGACGTTTTCAAGTCAATCAACCAACTCCACTTGAAACCAATCACACAGCCGTCCAGGGGCAAGGACAACCAGGCTATTGACTAGTTAGGCAAGAGATCGCCGCATGCTTTTGATAAGTTAGGCAAAAAATGAAAAATTAAAATTTGCACAAAATAAAAATTCAAATGTAAAATGATCAAAACTGACTCAGTCGGTGCATTTCATAAGTCCATCCAACCAAACGGTTGTAATGGATCAAATGTTAACCGGACCCCGTCCGGGAGAAAGAAATTGTTAATTAACCCGGCTCCACAGCCGGTAAATACACAGATACTCGGCACGCATGCCGGAAAAAGCAAGTTTTGGCATACAACCGCTGAATAAAAAGAAAATTAAAAAAGAAAAGATTGGCATACTGCCGCTGAGGGATCACTTCTGGCCTGCAGACGGAGCCTCCTGGTCCTCCCCCTCCTCCTCACCATCTGAGGGTATCTCCTGTGCTTCACCAGGACCAGGAAGATCAGGCACGGACGGCTCATTGTTGGAGTTGACCCAGGCTTCGAAAGAGGCAGGCTCTGGCTCGCCTTGTTCTCTCAAGTACATCACGTACTCGGCATAGCTGTGCGCCAGTGCCCAGATGCTATAATCCGCGTCTGGGTACAAGGCAGCCCAGGCAATCTTCATACGGGCGTCATTGTCAGCGTCACTCTCAGCAACAAGGCGGTTTTGCTCCGCCTCCAGGGTTGCTGCAAAGTTCTTCTGAGCCTGAGTAGCCTCCTTTTCCAGCTTTTGAACCTTGGCCTTCAGTTTGGTGTTCTCTTCGGAAACACCTTTAAGTGTGCCAAGGTCCGTCTGGGCCTTCTTGAGCGCCTCCACAGCCTTCTTGGCGCTCTCATCCGCCTTCTTCTGGGCCTCCTCCGACGCCTTCTTAGCCGTCTCAGCATCCGACACCTGCTGTTTGGCCGTCTCCAGATCCGCCTCCAGCTGCTGGATTCTAGACGCCCGTGTCATAATTATTGCTTTAGTTTCAAGTTCATTTACGATAGTCGAGTGTAAAGCAATATTATCAGCGTCTATGGCGGACTTCTTGGCCCTTTTTACCTCTTCTCGTTTGCGGGAATAAGGGCGTTTGAGCCCGTCCACCCGCAGCATGGCCTGCAAACAGTCAGGCGGCATAAGAATGGCAGGCCGGATAAGACACTTGGAAAAAATAAAATTGAATTGACAAGTTTCTTACCTCAGCCAGAAGGGATAGAATGCGTTCAAGATTGAACGTCTCTATCGCAGGGATATTGTCCTTATCCCTCTTCCGGACGGCTTCCAGCATGTCCTTGGCATGCTTCTGGACGTCTGGCCAGCGGGGAGATTGATCTGTACCACAATCAATACGTGATGAGTGCGAAACTAAGGCAGCACCTATTTGTTGCCGACCGTCTGAGGATGACGTCTGTTGGGAGTGGGATTTCACCCGTAAAGGCCACCCCAGCTCAAGCGGGGATTCAAAAGGGTTCTTACCTACAGAGTCGGCCAAGCGGCAACCGCTTGCAGGCATGGTGAACCCCGCAGCTGCTGATAAAGGGTTGACAAGATCAAGGCACACGCTTCCGCCTACCTTCTCGAGTCGCCCCGATATCCGCATCGTCTTAGCCCCGGCTGAGGCGCCAGGAGTTGATGCAGAGGTGGATTTTTTGATTTTGTTGAGAACGACAGGGTTCTCCTCCCTAGCCCGTTTGAGTTGCTTCTCAAACGACTTTCCAACCTCTCCTCCCTGAAAAAATAACCAAAGTTAAGGTTAGCATCCGGGAAAATGATTTTGAAGGATCAACGTATGAAAGGGTCAGGCGTTTGTTACCTTGGCCTTGAGCTCAGCCGCATCTTTCTCCGCAAGATCTTTGCGGACGGTTGCAGAAGACCGTTTAGGAGTTTTCTCCGACTGCAGCATTTTTAGAGCTTCTTCTGCAAAAAGAAAGAAATTGGTCAATATCATAAATCAATTTCGATAGAAAAATACTACAGACGGTATAAACTCAGGCGCATACGTTTTGTAAACATGTGCCCTAGCCCGCAGGCGGCTAGAAAACACTCATCCCTGAACCAGGCGCTCTTGGGGATCCAATTTTTGGGGACTTTTATTGTTTCCCTGGTTGACAGAGTTGCGTCTGTGAGGCCGAAAAAGTCTGCCTCAATTATTTTGTAAAAATCTTCCTCTGGGATCCGGGAAAGGTAGCACTTCCTGCCCAACAAGTCGGGCTTCTTATTGTACAGACGGAATTCATAATTTTCCCGTCTGGTTGGGGCTGACATCAGGTAGAACCTGTGCTTCCAGCCATCGAACTTTGAGACCTTGTCCAAGGTCATCATATATTGCGGCTGTGTGGTTCGAGTGTACCACGCCCTCCAGCCGCCTGGGCTTCTGCTAAGATAGTGCATGATTGCAAAAGCCTCCCAGCCGGGGTTAAGCCCCTGGAACTCGCAGGCGGCAACATACCCCAGAATGTTGGTCCAGGAGTTGGGGGTAAGTTGCCAGACCCCAAGGTCGTAGCCTCTTAAAATTGCTTTCACCGCCTGGTGAAGGGGAAAGCGGAGGCCAGCTTTGAACGCCGCCTCATAACAGCCAAAATAGTTGTTGGCGTTCTGTTCATCGTCCTCCCAGGCGATGGTGCCATTCTCAGGCGGCACCCGGATTCTATACCCGTCTCCTAGCGGGTGCATTTTCGTAAAGTTCTTTAAGTTTTCTTCCATTTGGATCCGGTCCTTGGAAGAGACGTGGATGCTGAAGGGATCATCCTTTTCGCTCCACTTTTTCCTTTCTTCCTCCTCGTTATCAGGAAGCGGGGGTAAGTCATCGCTGCTTTTAGAGGTAGAGGCGGAGCTGTCATGTCGCTCTCCGTCTCCTCCTCGCTTTGACCCAAGGGGGCAGAGACGGCCTCGTCGCCGCCTTGGTCTCACTCTTCCAAGAAAGAGTCAGCAGGAGTTGAAGGGGCGCGCGGAGGGGATCTCTCCAGAGCCGTCTGGTCTCCCTGACCAGACGTTTCTCCCTCAGGCGTTTGGCCGCCTGAGCCTTCGCTTTTGTAATTTGGATCCGTTGCCATCTGCATTGTCCGAGCCATGGTGTCCTGCACACACATAACTGGTCGGAATCCAAGGCAAAGGGTGGTCCCAACACCCCGAGACGACACTCCCAGTCCTTGACTCAGCCGACCCTGGTGACCGGCTGGACTCTGACCTAGGTTGTGCTGTGTGTGTTGGTGATGCATCCATTTATTGCAAGAAATATGTACAAGCGGTGAAAAAAGAAAAGAGGTGAGAGAGACAGAGACGGTACCTTTGGATTTGATATCTGAAGGAAGGCGGGTCCGGCTGGGTCGTCGAAGAACAAACTTCCTTACTCGCGCCTGACTCAAACGGATGACTTCTGCTCTCTCAAAGTTTTGCTCTCTAGGAAATTTTTGTAATGTACAAAATTATGAGGGTAAAACGGCTATATATAGAGGGTAAATTTGGGGGCATTTTCGTAATTTACTCGGAAGGTGAACGATTACTCTTTAATGGTAAAATTACCGCCAACCGGAGCGTGACATGTGTCACAGATGCCACGTGGCGTGTCACGTCACATCTGTGAGGGGCAAATGTTTAGGGTGTTTTTACCCTGCCACGTGGCCCAATCAGAGGGTGACACGTGTCAGCCTCAGATTGGTCCAAAATGGACCAATCCTTGCTTGACACGTGTCATTCTAGAAATAAAGGGGAAAAGGTGGCCATCAGGCCCAAATCCTGAGAACGCCAGAAAACGGCGCAGCCCACCAATGATTAGGGTTCAGTGACCTAATCAGGGGCAATTCCCAAGGACCCTATAAATAGGGAGATGTCTCTCATTTTGAGGACATGTTTTTGATCATTTATTACACATTTACTCTTTGATAGAGACATCCTGAGCTTGGAATCCGAGCAAATCCCTACCTAAATTTCCGCACCTTTTTCTCCCTTCAAGTTTCTAACTTGTGCGTCGGAGGCGGAGCACCACCCAACTGGTGTCTCCGTTTGTTTTGCAGGTACAGCTCACCCCGGATCAGTCTTCGTGTTGTAACTCTCCCGAGGGACAAAAACACCCAAAACAGATACCATCCAACTCAACCTAGAGAGACCTGTAGCACGATTATTCTGATAGCAAACATATAAAACTCCATCCAATTCCAAAACGTCTAGGCAAGTTACAGCATGATAAGCTGTTTTCTTAACCCTCTTCCCAAGTGAATTTATATATTCTTCGGTCTTTTCATCTCCCATTCCAAAATATATATCATCACCATGATCTCGGTAATCACTTTTAATTACCATTACACCAACACAAGGGCCAAAAGCCAAAAATTGTTTAATAACAGTATTCCAATCATCTTTGGAGTTTCGATAGGCAGATACAGAATGTTGAATCACATGTCTTCCTCCATTCCAGAGAGGGACCCCAGACATCTTAGCCTCATTCAGCAATTCTTCAGAGCGCCAACGTGACTCTAAATGTCGAGTAGAGGCATAATTTTTTCTGATTTCTTCCTCCCACTTCACATGATCAATAATACACATTTTTTCGCCATCGAATAACGTTGTCGGCACTACTAAAAAAACAAGAATAGGAAACACAACATGTAGAACGGTTAGGTATGACATACGTTCTCTACAACTATATAGAACGGTCATTACTAAAAAAACAAGAATAGGAAACACAACATGTAGAACGGTTAGGTATGACATACGTTCTCTACAACTATATAGAACGGTCATCAATAGCAGGCGTAGTATAAAATACTGTATATAAAACAATTAGGAACCTGACCGTTCTCTATTCTTATTAACACTAAAAAATGAACTCCTCCAACACCTAAATACTTTCAGTTTTCACGCAGTACTTGTAATTTTGTAAATTGTTTGGATGAAGGGATTTTCTTTCCTATTACTTCGTATAATAATAATTGTATAAAGGTGGTTAAATGGAGTGAATTGCGTTAATTTCGAAAATCCCACCCACCCATACTTTATCCCACTTTTCAAATGTAAAATTTAGGAAGTTACTTTATATTTTAGCAAACCTAACCCTACTCATTTCTTATTCTACCCGCCTCCTTTTTTATTTTACCTGATTCATTCTCTTATTCTTTCTCTCCTCACCATAATGGAAAACTCCAATCATCCATGGCAGCAACAATTTCTTCGCTCCCAATACCTCCAATTGCAACTCTAGAGTATCATTTTGTCATCGGTATCATGGGAGATAGGAAAAATCAGGTAAATTTTGTTATAATTTGTTACATGAACAATTTAGCAATCTCTTAATTTTGTTAATGATTTGAATTTTGGGATTATTAAAGAAAATTATGAAGTAAGTATTAATTCTTTGAATTTTGGAATTACGATTTCAAAAAAGCATATATATATACTATCTCTTAGCTTATGAGAATTTTAGATTACTAGTAATATTTTGTAACTTTAGTTATGATTGTGTAAATTCTTTAATCTACTTTTTTTTAATTATTATTATTATTATTATTATCATTATTATTATTATTATTATTATTATTATTATTATTATTATTATTATTATTATTATTATTATTATCGTTTTTTGGTTGATTTTATTTCAGTATGAAACTATGAATAGCAAGTTAGTAGTGTGAATTTGGTTTTTGTTTTGTTTTGTATTTTGAAATTTAATTTGTTATGGTGTTGAATTGTACAGGTTTCGTTCTCAAATTAAATTCATCTCCAATTATTGAAAGTGTGAAGAAGACTTACTGAAGAAGAGAAATCTATGGTGAATGCGGCGGCAAGCGATGCAATCATGTTACATCATATCGTATATCATGTTACATCATATCGTATACTTGTGAAATCATTGTTAATAAATTGTAACTTTTTGAATTGGTAGTATCCTAGATTTGTTTTGTCATTGGCCTGGTGTTATACTTGTACCCTTGTACATATAGGACACAAGGGTGTATTTTTACATAGAAAATATTGATTTTTTAACTAAATATTATAAATACAAGTTTTTTTCATCAGTAGAGTAATTATCCAAAAATGGTTATACACGAAAAATATAGTAGAAAATACTAGAATACAACATGTCGATGTACAAGCTAGATATTTTAGCTATTTAATTTTTATTTTACAAAAAATGAAGATTATAGAACTGTTGTCTTAGGTGACAGTTCTATTTGCAACAATATTATAGAAAGGTTTAGCAGCTCAACCGTTCTCTTTTCCTTCATTAATTTCTTATTTTAGGAAGGGAAAAGAGAACGGTTATGACTAAGGACTGCCCTCTATTGCTTAGCATACATAACGCCTATTTGAGGCGATCTATATACCTTATACATCGCTTAGCAGAATCTATAAAGCCTATTTTGACAGTTCTCTAAGGTCTTTTTTGTAGTAGTGCGGAGGGCACGCTTTAGCATACAGTATTCGTAATTGGATGTCTAATTGTTTTGAGGTTGCCGCAATTGCACATCCGTCATGTGTTTGAGATATGGGAGGTTGAATGATTTGAATACCATTCACCTTTTCATATCTCAAACGATGACAAATGAGAGTGTTCTGCAAAAAAATTGATGAACATCATAAATTAACATCTAAAAAAGACCATCAATTTTCAAAGCAAAACACAGCATCACTAACATTGTAAACTGACCCATAATTACAAAAAAAAAAAAAAAAAAAAAAAAAAAAAAAAAAAAAAAACAAAACAAAAAAACATACCTTTAGTACAGTGTAAGATTCATAAGACATATCTCAATTAGCAATGGGAGTGGAAACAAATTGTTAGGAGGGGTATACAATTGGGAGGGTTTGTTAATAGAATGGGTTGAGGTTGAGGAAGTGGATGGTATTGACGATGCAAGAGTGGAATTAGGGCTGGTGGAAAGAATATGGACCGAGAGAAACATGAATAAAAATGCTTTCATCAATTGATTAAGCAGGTTTGGCAACCAATGCAAGAGTCGAACATGACTTTTAATATTTTTTTTTTTTTTTTTTTTTTTTTTTTTTTTTTTGTCTTTCAATTCATCATTAGAAAGACAAAAATAAAGTCGTAGAAGGGCAATCATGGCATTTCGATCAACATGTTATCTTATTGGTTGACTAGGTTAGTCATGTGCGATGCACGGTTTTATCAAAGGATATGACGATGAATATATCATCTTTAGCTATATTGAGGACAGTTAATTTTTCTGTTTATTTAGGAAACAAAAAGAAAATGCTTGATTTCCTATGATTAGTAAATTTGTACATTTATACAATAGTCTGTACAAGCATATACTCCGTATTGGATTTTTTTTTTTTTTTTATAAATAGTTGGAGTCATTATTTATAATCCAATTTTCAAAGAAATTTAAGGAAGTAGATTAGCTTTAAAATTTTAAAAAAATAAAATTAAAAAAAATGATGATGTCATCATTGCATTTAGGCGGGAAGAAATTTCATAAAAAAGTGACACGTATACAGCTTTGGAGAAGAATGATGTCAGCGTTTCTATTTTAGTTATAGTTATTATATTTCGATCGACATGTTATCTTATTGGTTGATATGGATGAAAGTGTGAAGCCCTCGAATGTGAAAAATTGAAAAATTAACCCTTCAAAGGAAGACTCAATAATGCTAATGTCGAAGCTATAGGCAATAAATTTGGTACATTTATCAAAATTAGGGTGACCTAACGCGCGCGTTGCGTGCAAACCGTAGTGTTTGTAAAGTCATGTATAACAATATGGTAATGATTTTCTTAAAAAAAATTAATGTTTCCGGTTGGTTGGCATGGTAATTAAAAATTTGGTTTAATTTTTTTTTTTGACAAAATTTGGTTTTATGATCTACACGTTTATGAATTATGACGGTTTGAGTCTTTAGGCTTTGGGCCATATATTTAAGGAAACAATTTGGTGCAACAAAGCCAATAATACTGATAGCATTGTCAAGAGTTGTTTTTTTTAAAAAAAAAAATTATGAGAAGAATACTCATTTCACAATACAAGGATCAAATCCAATAAATTAAATGTCTATAACTAATTCCTATTTGCATATACATGATAAAGTAATGATATCTTGAGCCCAAACTCCATCAAAACATGATTCAATCGTAGTATTTTGGCACCGAATTAACGAGCCGACCCCAGTCAATTTCGTTTATCTGGGGGTATTTTGGTCTTTTCAGGTTGGATTGTAAGGTTACATGTGTCTTTTGCTATAGATTGCCAACTAACTGCTGTTGCAGCAATAATTGAAGCGTTATGTAGGGGTTGGCGTGTAGGCATTAACGGAAGGACACCCGAGTTCACCCGAGTTACTCTTCGTTAGATAGTCAAATTCCCCTCTTGGTTTTACAATCTTATCTCTCCCGTTTTAACGGATCTGTAATGTTTGAGTCTTTCATTTGATACTTGCTCGATTATCAGTTCTATGAGGTCCCGATTTGCTTCATCGACAATCTCGCCGCTAGTAGTGGTCGACCGGTGTTTGGAGATCTCCGATATTGTATACAAACTTCAGGTAATATCGTAGCAGTGGTTGCAATATTAGCCCTCTTCGTGGTATTTATTTTCTATTTAGTTAAATATAAAAGTTGCTATTGAAAGTATATAAATTTGAATGTAAGTTGTTGATATTTGTGTAAAGTTTAATATAAATGTTGTTGTGGAAAGTATATTAATATGAATGTAAGATGTTGACATTTGTAGTGTCAGTGATGTGTTCGACTCATGTCGATGTGTGCGGGCAAATGTGGAGTCGAATTTAAATTGATTCAAGATGCACTGTTGTAGACACCCATTTGTGTCTCCCCAAAACCAAACCCGATGTTGAGTGTCTTTCATGTCGAATCATAATCGAATGAAACGAAAGTGTGGAAATGTCTAGTGTTGCGGAAAGTTTTATTTCTTTTCTTTTCTTTTCTCTTCTCTCTGTTTTTGAAAACTTTATTTTAAGGAAAATAGCCAATCCAGTTTGGTTGGTCCATGATATGGGTCCAGTAGTGGTGTAGTTGGATGAGGCTTGCAAAGACCTTTCCAACGATACATTATAAGCCCAATTCCGATGAGTATTGAGGAATTTATGGCCAATTTACTAAACTGGGTCCGGTTTGAGTTTTAAGTACGACCCAATGATCTAGGGGAGGGCCTAATATGATTTATCATTCCTAATGTAATTAGGAATGGTTTTGGTCTTCTAGAACATTCTAGAAGGTTTTTATCATTCTTAATTCAATTAGGAATCTTTAGAGTTTTAATTAGATCAAATAGCATTTTCGACTGAAATTATATTATTTTATCTTCCAGTACGGTAAAATTATCAGATTTTCGAAAACGTGTTAAAAGCCGGTTTGGCGTCCAACCCCAGGCCTTGGCGCCTGGAACCAGGATTGGCGCCAGACGCCAGCCATTGGCGCCTGGCGCTAGCCACTGGTCCTGGCGCCAATGAGCCAGGGCTGGCGCCAAGTTGTTTTTGCGATCTTCAGACTCTGTTTTGATAAATTATCTTTTTTGGCTGATTTTCTCTATAAATATTGTATCAAAAACTCCGTTTAAGAGGACGGATTATCATCTATCATTCACCACTTCTTTTATTCTTAAGTTTTAATAAAATTCGTTTTCGTTCATTCATCTACAATCTTCAATTGTCAACAAATTAGTTTATGAATCATTAATCTTTCGTTCATTCTTTCAAAACTTTATTCTCAAACACAAAATTTCGCATTCACAAGAACTTGATACACCTAGCCATATTCGAAGTTGCCTTCGCCCTAGACGTGAAAGGTTTTAATTTCTGAGGGTTTGGTCCCAAATCTCTCTTTCAATTATTTAATTTAATTATTTTGGTTTAGTTTTTTCCTTGAAGTTACTAACGTGTGTATTTTGTAATTAGAAAGAGGTACGAGGCATCCAAGTAAGTACTTTATTGATTTAATTGATTTTATTGATGTAGACATCATGTTTATATTGTTATTATGATATTCCTAGTATCATGTCTAAGGTGTTTTTAATATTAAGCATGATTAAGAATATGATGCTTCCTATGTTCTTTCTAATATATTTGATTATGATTGATGATGATTATTCATTATGTTGCTTGATATGCATATTATTATTATTTATTGCTTGATCATCTTTATTGCAGGTTAAAGGGAATTGGTATTTGCAATCACGCTTAATAAGATAATTAATAATCTTGTTAGGTTAATTGTGATTATAATTCAAGTGATCGCCAATAATAGATTTGTATGTGCATTAATATTCAACCAACATAGATAAACAGGTTTAGGGTTAATCCTATTGATTGTATGTTAATTAGAAAGCGCACATGAATACGAGCAGAATAAAGTAGAGGCCTATTATTAGGGCAGGTTCAATCTCTTTTAGGTTGGATTTGTACCATCATCCCCGGACCCTTATTTGGTTCATGACCTTATGGAGTTGACGATCTCTTGGATCGTTAAGGGGTGTAACCTTCACCTCGTGAACGGTTTACAAGTTCCTTAAAAACTTGTTGGCGACTCTTTTGCTCTACCTTCTTCCCTTTTGGACGCCACCGTACTTTAGTGTATGATCACAGTGGGGTTCAAGCTAGTGGGATTTTAAAGGCTTGAAAATATTCCCTACAGTTTTTGGCGACTCTACTGGGGAGGATTTCTATTTTAATTCCTGAATTTGTTTCGGCAATGATTTAGAATGAGTGGATGAGACTCGAAAAGTTCTAAGTATTTCATGTGCGTAATTTTGATTAACATTATTGTCATATGCATAAAAAGGTTCTCATTAGAAAGACCATCCGTAATGAGTCAAAAACATAGGATTTTACACGTAGGAAATTTGAGAAATGTCTTTCACAACTAGGACTGAAATAACGCCGCGCGAAACTGGATGATTTTATTGAGCACGGAAAGCTGTTGAGGCATGTGGGAAGTAGCGTCAGGGGCCAGAGCTTGGCGCCAACATTTTAGTCGTAGGGCCTGACGCCAGTATTGGCGCCAGGCGCTACAGCTAAAAGTTGGCGCCAGTCTCTGTTT